TTAGTAATCTTCAAATAGATGAAGATACTAAAACTCAACTTCTCAATCTTATTGAATCAAGTTCTAATAATGAGTCTAACTCAGAATTAGAACAAGTCTTTCACAATCAAGAAGATTCTGATTATGAATCTTCTCCTCATTCCTCTGATATTTATTTAAACTCAGATAAAGAAATTTGTGGTTGTAAAACTATAAATGTTTTATCTAGAGAAGAAGAAGTTATTCTAGATATCATTGATAGAATTGATAATCCTAATCTCAAGAAAAAATTCTACTCTCTATTACCTTCTACTTCAAAACAAGATTTCGGTGATATCAATATTAATCAAATTCTCAAACGAGCTCAAAAGGAATTTTCTAAAGGTTCTAAACCTTCTATTCCTGATCTTCAACAAGAGATTAAAGGTATGAAAACTCAAATCTCAGACCTTGAAAATCAAGTCAAAGAAATTCACATGGAAGTCGTTTGTATAAAAGCAAAAGACTTAAATGATGAATTTTATTCAAAATTCAAAGGAAAACCGAAAGTTTCTTCCAAGAGATCTTCAAAACATTCTAAATCCTCATCTGATTGTTCTTTAGATTCTAATTTTAAACTTCTTAAATCTGAAGAAGAAAAGGTTAATGTTATTAACCGAATTCAACTTCAAAAAAGGTACTGTAATATGACTATTGTTGTGAATAAAGAATTTAAATTCACAACTCGTGTTCTTATTGATTCAGACGCAGATCAAAATTGTATCAAAGAATGTTTGATTCCTCCAAAATACTTTGACAAAATCATTGAGCGTCTTTATGGAGCTAGTGGAAAAAAACTTAATATCAATTATAAAATTTCAAAAGCTCATGTTTGTAATTCAAATATTTGTTTCAAAAACATTTTTTATCTTGTAAAAGATTTAGATCAAGAGGTTATTCTTGGTACACCTTTTATTGTTCAAATTTATCATTTTAAAGCTGATTATAAAGGATTAACTACAAAAGTTTTTGTTCAAAAAATATTGTTTGAATTTACAAATCCTCCTTCTTATAAAGATATTAATTCTTTAAAAGAAGCTGCTATTTAAAAAATTATCAACAATAATAATTTAAAAAGAAATCATATTCAATTTCTTAAAAAAGAAATTCAATTTCAAAAATTTGAAAAAAGATTACAAGAATCTTCTTTTCAAAATAAAATTTCAGAATTACAAAATAAAATTGAAAAAGAAATTTGTTCAACTATTCCAAATGTCTTCTGGGATAGAAAGAAATATATTGTTTCTCTTCCTTACAATTCTAATTTCCTATCCCCTGGGTTATTTTGGTATCAAAGCCATAAGAGAGTAAAGTGATATTATTGTCAAACACTGTAGGCACAAGATTTAGGAAAACCTTGTTCAAACCTGGATGTCTGCAGTTAAGCGTTGGTCAGCTACTGTTGCCGATGTAGGTGTTGAAGGGTGGTCCCGTTGTAGGCTTGGTGAGAACCTATTAATAATATTATTTTGTCTTTACTTTGTTTAATTATAATTTCATTTTTATTCAATTATGTTTTCAGTAACAAATTGGTTAAGGAGATCGAGGTCTAGAAATAGACGAGAAAATCAATCACATGAGAATAGAACAAATATTTTTCAAATAGTAGAAGAAATTGATCATGCATCTGCATCAAATGATTTCAATTCTCATGAACTTCAAGTTGCTCAAATTGAACAACGTTTTCAAAATTGGACTATTCCAAATATGGATAAACATACCATCTATGAAATAGGAAAATTTGATTTTTCTCAAAATTATGTTATCAAAACTATTAAACAAACTGTTTCAATTAATAGTCAAAATTCTTTCATTAATTTACTTACAAAAGAAGCTAGTGAATCCCACAGGAAGAAATTTAAATATTTTCATGTTGGATTAGTTCAAATAGCAGTTAAGCCCTTGTTTAGACTTGGTCTTGATGTTCCAATTTTACTTACTCTTAGAGAAAAGAGATATCTCAATTTTGAAAATTCAATACTTTCACTTCTAGAATCAAATCTAGAAAGTGGTCCAGTATTTTCAAACTGTTATCCAAACTTTTCTATCAAACTTACTGACGAAGCAATTCTCAATTTTCTCAATCTTCATATTTAAACTAAAAATCTTGAATTTGATGTTAGATCAAATGCTTTTGCTATAATATACAGAGTATATTATAAGCTTATGAATAGTCAACTCGATATTGAAGCTCTTCACTTTTCACCAAAAGATGAAAGTCTTTTAGTTGAAGTCAATCCTTTTCACTCAAATGTTGAAATTCCAAAAAGAATTCCATGGAATCTTCAATCCCGTGGACTCGAATGAAATTTTGATAATGTTCAAGCACATGTTCCTGCTCAAACTAGAACAATTCCAAATCAAATTTTTACTTTTCCAGATGGAAAAGCTAAGATTCTTTTCAAAGGATCATCCTCAAGAATTCAAAGATCTAATTCTGCTAAGTCTTTTTCAACTAGATTTGAAGAAAAACCCAGATCATCCTTTCAATCTTCATACAAAGGAGCAGATTTTACTCCGATTATTCCAAAACCTCATTATCAAAATGATTATGAAAAAGATGATCAACCGGAATCACCAACTTTTTCAGATATGGTTCCTCCCTCCAATCTTGATCATCAATGTAATGTTATTTCTTCTGAAATTGAAAGAAGAAAAGAATTCAAATATGATCAAGACATTTGTGTCAAAAATTTTAGAAAACTTCTTCGAGAAAGTTTTTCTTCAAAACAAAAAGAACCTTATTGGGAAGATTATTTTAAATCTTCTACTGATTTGAGTTTCTATGATTGGATTCAATTCAAAGTTTTTGGTAAAAGGCTAGAAAAATTAAAAATTTTTACTTCAAAAACTCATGTCAATACTTGAAAAACTCTAGAAGGAAATACTTTCCAATCAACTCATCCTCCTATGCAAGAAATAGTTATTTCTCATGGAAAAATTGAAATCCTTGCATCCCCGCTCAAAAGAATTCCTAAAGAACGATCTGATGAATCTCAGGTTGTTGCTAAGGATATAAAAAATATTCAATCTCAGAACAATTATACTAATGTTGTTCTTCAATCTATGTGCTCTCAGCTCAATCATATCAAATCAAATTCCGAATCTGAGAATATTATTTCTCAAAAGGATTCTTCCAAAGAATCTAGAGAAAGTACTAGTAAAGATAAGAATTTGAATTTTTCAAAACCATCATCCTCTTCCTCTTCAATTTTCAAAAGTAATGATATTATTCCTCAATTTGGAAAATCTTCAACCCTTCAAACCAAAAGTGAAATTCTTTCTGAACTTGCTACTCAATTAAAAAATTTGTATAAATTTTCTTAATTCTTCAATTTTTTCCCAACTTAAAATCATAACACAAACACAACTCAAATTATTCAAAACATTTAAATCTAAAATAAAATGAAAAGAATATTCTCGATTAATCTTATGGAGCTGAAAACGGGCTATCGGAGATTGAACTTCAAAAATGTATTCCGACTGGCTATGGGTTGCCTGTCGTAGGATGGAGGAGTGGTTACTGTAGAGTAGGGAATGTTGTTGGTCTAATGGGAATGGCGTGGTTTAAGGTTGAAAATGGAGAAAATGTAGAAATTTTGTGAAGAGGAAGAAGAGAAAATGTGATCGTCTCGTGGGTTTGTATTGGGGTTAAATTTGTCAATGGTCACTCAACTTTATACATGGTGTCATCATAATCACTCAATTTGATTTTGTTTTACCATAATAACCCAATTTTATACTTAGTTTCACCATGGCTACTCAATTTTATTTTATTTTACTATAGCCATCCATTTTTATATATAGTTTCAACATGCCCAACCAACTTTTTTCACAATTTTCACTAATTTTAAAATGGTTAAAATAGTAAATTTGTATTATATATAAAAAATAAATTTAAAATAAAAACTTATTTTAAATAAATTTACTTAGAAAAATAAAATAAAAACTCAATTAAAAAAAGTTTTAAAAATAAAATAAAAACTTAAAAAGTTACTCAGAAAAATAATATGAAATAAAATTAATTTTTTTTTAAAAAAAAAACTTTCCTTTTAGAAAAATAATAAAAACTTATTAAAAAAAAGTTACTTAGGAAAATAAAATAATAACTTATTTTAAAATAATACAAAATTATCATTTTACCCCTTTCAAAATTAATGAAAATGGTGAAAATAAATTGAGTTGCCATGGTGAAATGTTATATGAAATTAAGTAGTCATGGCAAAACATTATATGAAATTGGGTGATTATGGTGAAATAAAATCAAATTGGATGACCATGATGATATTAAGTATAAAGTTGGATGATCGTGATGAAACAAAATCAAATTGGGTGACTATAATGAGCTCATTGGTGGATCTAATCCATTTGTATTGTAGGGTGGGGAGGGTATGATGTTTTTTAATTTTTTTTATACAATTTTTTCAATTAGTCAAATCATATTTATTGAAAGACATACAAGATATTTAAAATAGAATAATGTAATTTGTAAATAATTGAGTTATATAATGATTTACATACGGATGATGTTTTCAAAAGAGAGTAGCCAAGCTCCGTTTTTTTTTTCTTCATTTGGTTAAAAAAATGTAACTCAATCATATTTCACATCATCCATTTAGAAATTGTTATGTATATATATATGTAAACTATTATGTAAAGCATTAAAAGATAATATCTTTATAATTGAAAATCCAAACGGTGAACTATTGTGTATGTTTGACACCATTATACAAATTTTTTTTTGTCTACACAATCATTTTTAGCCCCCCGTTTGAGTCACATAATTGTAAAATTGAGAATAAAAAATATAATTGTTATGGCTCCATACAAGAGATAAAAAGTCAAATATAGGATTTGGTCTAATAAATAACGATCATATTTTTCATTTTAATAAGAAAATAATAAGGAGGCCTTAATCACAAAATAAAATGTTCTATATATAAATTCAAAATTTAATATTGAGAATTTTGGGTTTCAAAGGCCACAAAGTAGAGGCTAAAAATCGTGCAAATCCTATCCCGGTAAACTCCAAAACCGATACTAACCCCTAATCCCTACCTTAAAACTCCGAAGCAGACCCTCGAGAACGCAATCGAACTCGCAGAGTGAAATTGACAGCGGAGAACATGGTAGAAGCAGATGAACCAGCGGAAATCGACGTACCATTGAACCGAAAAAGTAAGTCAAAGAAGCAAAAAACTCGAGCCCGATACGCCGAAGTAGCCCGTAATACTGAACCCGCTCAATTTTCCGGCCCGACAGAAAAAATCAATTCTTGTACTACTTCACCAGGAATCATAACTTCAATTTTCGATTATTCAGTTGAAAATCACTTCAAAGCCGTTCATACAATATCCAAACTCTGTGGAGAGCCAGAAATAATTGGTTCTAATAAAACCGAAATTCAACGATTCTCCAATGCTATTACATTCTTGAGGTCATACTAATGATTTTCATTGTAAATTTGATATTTTTGGTTAATTGGAATGTAATTGTTGAGCCTACGTTGATTTAAGTAATAAGATTTGGATTATGATTTGATTGTAGAGAATGGAGGCATTTTTCTTACCCGCCAAGGACCATAAGATTTGCTTGTCAAAAAGAGAGAAATAGTTCCAAGGTTAAAGATGTAATAGGTGGGATTACCTTGCCTCAGTTTTCTGCTGCTACCGTTCCTAAGGCATGTTACATAATAACTTTGCACGTTACATGAAATTAGGGAAAAAAATTTGGAGTGAATTAAATAGTTTCTAACTGAATTGTTTTGAAATGCAGGAGGCACAGAATGGGGGAATGGTTGCAGGTTCTGAATCAAGGTACGTTGAGGAATTGGATTGAGATGTGCTATTGAAACATTTGAATTTATATCTATTTATTTTGTACTCACTGAAGCTTGCTGCAGCAAAGACTTTGTAATGTATGTTGGAGGCAATGTCTGGGCAGTAGACTGGTGCCCTAGAGCTGACCGTAGTTCTCTCAATCACATTAATTCTGAGGTATTTCAATTATTATTACTTATTTCTGTGACATTCTATGCTTATTCTTACTTTATTAGCTTTGAGAGGGTTCCCTTAGAAGTGTAATCAGAATGAATAACACAAGAACATGTATTAGGATAGTTTGAAGATGTTTTGATATGATAGCAAATTGTTGGATTAGTGAATCTCCTGCCACACAGAGAAACCTTAAAGAACTGAATTTTACTATAGCAAATTCAAAAAAATAAAAATAAAAATAAAAAAAATAAAAAATCGAATGGAACACATTCGTCTGTAGTTGTGCTTGACGTTTTATAACAATGCGCAGAAGGAAAGGGTTTCGATTATTCTTTATCATAGATAACCTCCAATAGATCATACATCTTGGAGTATTTATGTTATGAAAATTTCCCATTATTGATCGACTAGTAATTGCTGCACGGAATCTAAAACACTTCTAATTTTTAGGAATATATTTGCAGGGGATTCTATGCATACATCTGTTGGACCTTCTTGTCAAAAAAGCTTAATTTGTTTTAGATGATACACATTTGTTTCTATGAAATTAGCCTTCAACATGTCACTTGCGTGCAAACTGTATTCATTTACTTTCACAAAGGCCGGAGACATGTACACTTTCATAAATGGGCATTGGCAAAACTTGAATCTAGATTTCTATTTGCTTTGATACCAAGTTGAACCATCTCATCTAAAAGCTTATGTTGATAATATATTTATTTACCAAAATTTAGTCTTCAGCGGCATCACTTCTTTGTCTTTGAGAGTTCTTCTTTCAAATGAAAAGCACTTGCCTACATAGATGGTCTTGTAGGTAACTCAAATTTGGTTTTGGCTTCTGTTAAGGTTCCACTGAGAAGAACAAAATCAACAACTCTTTATTGAAATAAGATTGAAGTACAAAACTGTATTAAAAAAAAGGAAGCCTATAGAAGGCTGTAAACCAATAATGACTCCTCTCACTTTCTAATTGCTTGCCTATTAGTTCTCCCTACCCTCTTATTTATAAGCCTCTAGGTAACAACTTCTGTTTGTGTAACTAATTCAGTTGCTAGTGTTCCCGCCCATCTGCTCCCTCCAACTTCTTAGATCTTCTAGAATATATGTGTATGACGGGTGGTCTATCATCACCCCTGGGTTCGAAAGACACCTTGTCCTCAGGGTGGAGATTCGGAAAGTGATTAGAAATGGATGTTGTTGACTCCCAAGAAGCTTCTGAAACTGGAAACCCTTTCCATTTGATTAAGACTTCTTGCCCTGCTGGTGAACTTCTGGTGCCCAGGACCTGTTTTGGCTCTACAACCCATTCCATGGTGGTAGTTAAGTGTGGGGGAATCTGCTGGCATACCTCGTTTTCGCCCAGGGCCTTTTTCAGCTGTGAAACATGGAAAACAGGATGGATGGAGGCGGAGGAAGGAAGCTCCAGTTTGTATGCAACCAACCCAATACGTTTGATGATTTTGAAAGGACCAAAGTAACGTGGTCCAAGCTTCTCATTCGGTTTCCTAGCCAAGGAACGAAGGCGATATGGTCGGAGTTTAACATAGACCAAGTCGCCTTCATTAAAGTTGACTTGTCGGCGATGACGGTCAGCCATTGACTTCATCCTTGCTTGAGAACGTAGTAAGTGTGTTTTGAGCTCATCCAAGATTGCATCTCGTTCACTCAACTGCAGTTCTACCTCATTTACTTTTGTCGATTGGGACCCATACCGAACAAGAGGAGGAGGGTCTCTTCCGTAGACGGCTCGAAAAGGTGTGGTATTTGTGGAAGCATGATAAGTCGTATTGTACCAATATTCGGCCCAAGGCAGCCAGTTACTCCAACTTCGCGGTTTGTCATACGCAAAGCACCGTAGATAGTTCTCAACACATCGGTTTACCACCTTCGTTTGCCCGTCGGTTTGAGGATGGTATGCAGTACTTCGACAAAGGAAAGTACCTTGCAACCTGAATAGTTTCGACCAGAAGTTACTGACAAAAATTTTATCCCTGTCTGACACGATTGAACGCGGTACCCCATGAAGTTTGATTACCTCCTTCACAAAAATCCCTTCTACAAATTTCTTTATATCTTTCTTCATACCTTCCCAATATAAATCGCCTGTGATGCACTTGTAAGTGCGAAAGAACCCTGAATGCCCTCTCGCTGAGCTACTGTGGAATTCCAATAATAGGGATGGAATCACGGAAGAAGATCGGGGAAGGACTAGGCGATCCTTGTAAAGCAACTTGCCTTGCTCCAGTGAATAACGTGGGTGAGAGTCAAGGTCCTCTTGCAAATCCTTTTTAATCTTTGATAATTTGGAATCAGCCTCCACCTGTGCAGCTATTAACTGTACATCGATGACCCAAGAGAAGCTAAGAGCTGAAAGTTCAGGAGGCCTTTCTATTCGGGACAGTGCATCAGCAGCTTTATTGTTTGATCCTGGACGATATTGGATTTCAAATTCATAGCCCAATAGTTTGGCCACCCAATGTTGGAACTCGCTGGAATCACTCTTTGCTCCAGCAGGTACTTCAGACTCCGCTGGTCAGTTCGAATGATGAATTTTCGCCCCAATACGTAATGTCTCCATTTCTGGACAGACAACACAATGGCCATTAGTTCTCGTTCATACACAGATTTAAGCTGAGATTTTGCTGATAAAACTTGACTGAAGTATGCTAAGGGGCGTTGATTTTGCATGAGCACTGCGCCCAACCCATAACCCGATGCATCTATTTCTATGATGAAGGGCTGAGAAAAATCCGGAAGTGCAAGTACTGGAATTGTGGTCATCGCCTTCTTTAATTTCTGGAACGCTTCCTCTGCATCAGATTTCCAATTAAATGCGTCTTTCTTTAACTGTTGGGTGAGGGCCCATGCTATGGTTCCATATCTTGCCACGAACTTCCGATAATATCCGGTCAACCCCAGAAAACCATGGAGTTCCCTCAGGTTTCGAGGAGTGGGCCACTTCTCCATAGCTGCAATTTTACTCGGGTTAGCCGCTACCCCTTGAGCCGAAACCAAGTGTCCCAAATATTTTATCTGGTGCTGGCGAACATACATTTTTTGGCGTTCACAACTAGTTGATGTGATGCCAAAACCATGAAAACCAAATCCAGGTGTTGCTCATAGGATGCTTGGTCTTTGCTATAAATTAAAATATCGTCGAAGAATACAAGCACAAACTTCCTCAGATATTCTTTAAATACTTGATTCATCAGGGACTGGAAGGTTGCCGGCGCATTGGTCAATCCGAAAGGCATTACTAGAAATTCGTAATGCCCTTCATGGGTTCTAAATGCCGTTTTGCTAATATCTTCCTTCCTCACTCTAATTTGATGATATCCAGACCTCAAATTCAGTTTCGAGAACACCGAAGCTCCATGCAATTCATCCAGTAGTTCGTCTATCACAGGAATAGGGAATTTGTCTGGAACAGTGACCTTATTCAATGCTCGGTAATATATGCAAAACCTCCAACCTCCGTCTTTCTTTTTGACCAGCAATACGAGGCTTGAAAACAGGCTAGTGCTGGGTTGTATTAGTCTTGCAATTAGCATTTCCTTCACCAAACGTTCGATCTCATTTTTCTGAAAATGAGGATATCTATACGGCCGCACACTGACTGGTTCTGGTCCTTCTCTCAAAATGATGGAATAGTCCCTACTGCTGCTTGGAGGCAGCTTGCCTGTGGGATTAAAAACCTGAGAGTGGCGTTCAATGACCCTTGCTACTCCTGCAGGTAGGGTAGGGTTTATATTATCCCCTTCTCTCGTGGTAGTAAGACTACCCAACCATATTCCTTGCCCCTCCTTTTGCAGAACCTTAACCAAGGTTTTTAGTGAAATTCCGGATTTATTGAGCACTGGGTCTCCTTTGAGAGTTATATCTGCGTTCCCCACCTTGAACCGCATTGTTAATAATTTCCAGTCAACTTCCATCATCCCCAGACTGCCCAACCACTGCATTCCTAAGATCACTTCCGTACTACCAAGTTCTAGAGGAAGGAAATCCTCAACGATCCACAGGTTTTGAATTTCCAAGCCCACCCCCTTGCAAATCCCCTTGCCTCTTACTGATTCTCTAGTGCCCATCACTACCTCATAGTTAGTAGTGTTGGTAATAGGTAGTTCCAACTCATCGACCAGCCTGAGTGAGAGGAAATTATGGGTCGCGCCACAATCTATCAAAACAGTCACAGCTCACGAGCCCATCCTTCCCATCATCTTCATTGTTCCTGGTGTGGTCAACCCTACCACGGAGTTTATGGATAGTTCGACCTTGTCCGCTACTTCCACCGGTTGTTTTTCCTCCTGCGTTTCGAACCTCGGTTCCTCCTCATCGCCCTCCTGGACTAACAGAACCCTAAGTTCGTTATTCTTACATTGATGCCCAAACATGTATTTTTCATCGCACTTGAAACACAATCCCTTCTCCCTCCTGGACTGTAACTCTGCCTCCGTCAACCTCTTGGTCGGAAATTCTCGGCGAAGCGGTGACGGCTTTTCCCCCATAGTCACTGATTGGGTTGGAAAATTATCCAGCTTCTTCGAGCCACAACTGGAAGTAAGATAGTTGGGTTTTGAAGATTTGGACCCCCAAGTAACCTGGGCCGTTTTTAGTAACCGATTTCAGTCTTCCACTCGCTGGGCTATTTCCATGATATTTCCAAGCCCAACAGGCCTCAATAATCGGACCTCAGCCCTTATTTCGGTTTTGAGCCCATTCATGAAAGTACTTTCCAAGACCTCCTCTGAGAGCCTAATCAATGGGGCGGCCAATACTTCGAAGGTTCGTCTGAACTCCGCCACTGTCCCCTCCTGCCGAACTGCCAAAAAATTTTCACAGAGTTTTCCTTCCTGTGTTGGTCAAAAACGTCTCAAAAGATGATGGCGAAATTGCACCCAATTTTGAATGGGTTCCCTGACTTCCGTCCATTGTAGCTACGACAAGGTGTCCCCATCGAGGCTAACAGCTATCGCCCCTAATTTCTCTCGTTCCGACAATCCATTCACTTCAAAATACCTATCCATCCGGGTTGTCTCCGCTTAAGATAGGCATTTCTAATTTTCTGATTCGCCGCCAATCACCGCCTTCCCTGTTTGTACCGAAATTCACTATCTCCTCCTCGGAGCATACTTCGCCGGAGACTTCGGGCCATTTTCCTCTTTCTTTGGTGTCTTTAAGGCTTGTGATATCGTTGGATGCGATTTGAGGTGACTTTCCTTCCTTAGCAGCTCCCGATCCTTCTCCTTCACGAGGATCATTTGTTCCTGACCGAGGGAGTGCTAATGCTGCCACTGCCCTCTGGGTTGCTTCCATAGATTGCAGTATCTTGTTTATGTTTTGGGATAGATGTTCCACAGATTTCTCTAGTCCTGGTAGCCTCTGCAATTCCGATTTCACCTCTTCCATATCCTTTTCAACTGTCTCCATTCTGCTCTCCATCTTCTTCTGTGCCATCAGGATCAGCCGCTCTGATACCAAATGTTAAGGTTCCACTAAGAAGAACAAAATCAACAACTCTTTATTGAAATAAGATTGAAGTACAGAACCGTATTAAAAAAAACAGGAAGCCTATAGAAGGCTGTAAACCAATAATGACTCCTTCTCTCACTTTCTAATTGCTTGCCTACTAGTTCTCCCTACCCTCTTATTTATAAGACTCTAGGTAACTTCTGTTTGTGTAACTAATTCAGCTGCTAGTGTTCCCGCCCATCTGCTCCCTCCACCTTCTTAGATCTTCTAGAATATATGTGTATGACGGGGGGTCTATCAGCTTCTTGGTAAAGTTTCTTCCAGTTTGGATGTTAAGAGGCAGCATCTATTTTTCAAGGCAGCTCTATACTCACATAACTCATTTCCATATTAATTGTATTATCTTTAGGATTTTCCAAAAAAATGTCTATTTTCTTGATGTATTTCCTTTTAATGGAATCACACACTATGCCACTTTGGACTTTCTGATCTCCTTATTAACTTTAAAATGCTAGAAGAAACACAAATATTTTTGTGACCTTTGCGCCTTAATCATATCATCTTTTCCAACTCTCACCTGAGTTATTCTAGGTTGAATGGTTATTGGATTTTTAGTTACAACCTATGACATTGTGGAAAATGAGAAAGTTTGCTTTTTACATATTTGTAGTACATTAACCTTGTATTTTACTATCCATAATTGATGTTACAGTTCGTCGCTGTTGCTGCTCATCCACCTGAATCTACATATCACAAGATCGGTGTCCCTTTAACTGGCAGGGGTGTCATCCAGATATGGTGTTTACTTAATGTCTGTTCAGAAGATGCACCTTCTCAAGTGAATAAAAAGCGAAAATTGGGTACCAAGAAAAAGGAGAGAGTTAAGGCTAATGAATCAATAAAACTGCCAAGGCCAAGAGGGAGACCAAGAAAGAAACCTATAAATGAAAATGTGGAGAAGATCGACTCAGATAGCCAATATGTGCAATCTCTTGCAATTGAATACCTTGAAGATATATCTGGATTGTATTCTGTACAGAGGGCTTCTGCAGATACAAATGAACAAGTTGTCAGTGAATACTCTAGGACAAAACTTGACGATTCAGTAAATGCAAATGCATTGTTGATGGCTTCTCAGGTGAATAAAGAAAAGGAAACAGTTAAGGCCAATGAATCGACAAGATCACAAAGGCCAAGAGGGAGACCACGAAAGAAACCTGTGGAGAAGATTGATTCAGAGAGCCAATATGTGCAACCTCTGGCAATTGACTACCCTGAAGATTCATCCATATTACATTCTATAGAGAGCGCTTCTGCAAATACAAACGAACATGATGATTCAGTTAATGAAGATGCATTATTGATGGCTTTTCAGGTGAATAAAGAAAAGGAAACACTTAAATCCAACAATTCAACAAAACCTCAAAGACTACGAAGGAGACCACTAAAGAAACCTGTAAATGTACCTGTGGAGAAGATTGATTCTGAGAGCCAATATGTGCAACCTCTTGCAATTGAGTACCCTGAAGATTCATCTAGATTACATTCTGTAGAGACGGATTCCGCAAATACGAATGAACAAGTTGTCAGTGGAGACTCTAGAGCAAAACTTGTTGATTCGGTTAATGCAGATGCATTATTGTTGGCTTCTCGGGTGAATAAAAAACCAAAATTGGGTATCACTAAAAAGGAAGCAGTTAAGACCAACGAATCAACAAAATTGCAAAGGCCAAGAGGAAGAACAAGAAAGAAATCTACAAATGAACCTGTGGAGAAGATTGATTCAGATATCCACTATGTGGAAGCTCTTGCAATTGAACAACCTGAAGATTCATCAAGATTACATTTTGTAGAGATGGCTTCTGCAATTTCGAACGATGTTGCATTGCCTAGAATGATGTTATGTTTAGCTCATAACGGAAAAGTTGCATGGGATGTGAAGTGGCGACCATTTAGTGCTCGTGATTCTGAATCCATGCACAGAATGGGGTATCTTGCTGTCTTGCTTGGAAATGGAGCGCTAGAAGTGTATGATCTCTCATTTAATTTTATTCCTTTCTTTGGGTACATTTCTCTCAGCTTTAAATGCGAATCATTATTTTTTATGTTTTATTTTAGAAATAATTCCCTTTTATTAGTTTCTTGTACGTTTATACTCTAAAGGAAGTAATAAGATGTGGCAACTGTGACATAAAATAGTGACAGTGACATTCACGAGTCTCAGTTTCTTGTTGAAATCAATCTTGCAAAGATTATTCTGCTTATAGATTAAATGTAGTTCATCTCCTACTCAACTCCAGATGGCTGGAGTTTATTTTTAAAATAATAGGCACTCATATGTTATTTTTGTTGTTTTGAATTTGAGCTCTAGTTCTTGCTAGACGTGTCAATGGTGTATAATTTATAAGTTATCTTTATCAGCAATCAACAAATGCCACTTGAAACTGCTTAACTTGCATATGATTATTCGAGGGCACATTAATTTTATTTATTTTATTTTATTTTATTTTTAGTGTGTGATCGATATGCATGTAATGCTTATTTAGGCATAGATCTTATGCTAGTACATTTTCCAAATTGTTTCCAAAGTTGTTTTGCCGTGGTTTTTAACTTCGAAAGTTGTCATCATTTGACTATCAATCTGCAAATAAGTGATAGTGTCAAACCTCCCATAATCCTTGTGTGATTTTGACTAGAATATGATCTTTGTTGCTTTATGGTTGTAATTGATATTATTTTAGTGACCTCAATCTCACATCGCCTGGGGAAGGAAAATAGGACTGATTTATAAGTGAAAGATGGCACCCAATTGGTATGAGGCCTTTTGGTTGAAAGTCCAAGAACAAAACCGTGCAGGCCAGGCCAAAGTAGATAATATCATACCAAGTGGACTAGCTTTTATTTGGGCTTCCCCAAATTGTTATCCTTGATCCACTATGCTTTTATCTTTCATGTTGCTTTCTCGCAATCCTTTTACCAAAGGTGTTTCTTTCTAATATCCCACTTGCCTAATGCAGGTGGGAGGTTCCTTTTCCTCGCACAGTTGAACTTATATATCCTGCTTGCCAAAAAGAGGGTACTGATCCTCGGTTCATCAAACTGGCACCAGTATTCAGATGTTCAACGCTAAAGTGTGGTGATAGGCAAAGGTAGTGTAGCTGTTGATATATTTTCTTTTATTATCAATGCGTTACTTAAAACATGTTGCCATGGAGAAAATTTATGTACTCTGTTGGTTTGATAAAATAAATTCCAAAGTTTCTGCAGAGACCTAATTCTGTGAAGAAATTTGGTGATTATATTGGAACAAACTATAGCCTATTTTCACAAACTTTAGCCTATTTTCATATTTTGTCATTGTTGCAAGTTCTGCATTTTTTTATTGTGTATGGTAGGTGGATGATTTCTGTTTCATTTATCCTTAGGCGTGTGCCGGATGGGGGTAATGGTAGGATGGGGCACTAGACTTGTGATTGTTAGCTCGGATACTTTAAGCCCTTGTTTGGGGCTCCATTTTAACCGAAGTGTTGGGGGGGGGGGGGGGGATGAGTTTTTGAATAGTGATTTTTTTTTTGGAGAATGTATGGTTAAAATGATAAGGAGAAGTCTTCAATTTACGTGTAATATTATTTTATGGGAACAGTTGAAAATGAGTTTTGAAAAAATGTGGTCCAAACATAGGCTAAAATAATCCTGTAACGTGCAAATTTGTTCTTCAGCATGGAGAACCATGCATGTGGTAAAATATATTAAGCTAGTGAGAAATCCATTATCATGTTTATGTCCTTGATGCAATTCTTAAGATATGCAGTTGTGTTAGGTGCTTATTTTTGTAGAAGTCCTGCCCTGAATATGCTAACAATGCTCAAATTGATTACGCCACTACACATTGATTTTGACAGTGTATACTTGATTCATGTCAACCAAGGTTTACTTTAAATTTGTTTTCGCCTTGAAATTGAGATTTACATCTGGATCATATTTGCATTATTTACCTTGGTTTATGAATTTGTGAGTCCATAATTTGTAAATATGGCCCCGTTTGATTCCCATAGATTGAGAATGAAAAATATAGCCGTTACGGGACCCACACAAGAGATAGAAAGTCAAATATGATGGCTTGATGTGATGGATACGGTCATATTTTTCATTTTTGTGGCCAAAGAATGGGAATCAAACGGGGGCTATATAATATTCTAGGATGTTAAATATTGATATTTTGAAGATTAGATACTTTTAAATGCATACTTTTCTTCACAATCTTGTGATTTGTTTCTCATTTGATTTCTAACTCATGTACTGTGAATCTTTTCTTCACAGTATTCCTTTAACCGTGGAGTGGTCTACATCCGCTCTGCATGATATGATTCTGGCTGGATGTCATGACGGAGTGGTATTCTTTCTTCTTTACTCTTTCAAACTGAATGCAATTGGTCATAATTCATGTTTCATATTAATGAGGAAAAAGGTACATCGCTTGCCTTTTGTCCTCTTAGAGTTCCACTTGTCTAAAAACAATATGTTAGTTTCCTGCAGCAAAAGATTATATTTTAGCTGAGCTGGTTAGCCCAGATCTAAATTAACTTTGTCCAGTGATTCTTTATTTATCATTAAGATTTCTATTCTATCTTTCTGTAAATTCAGGTTGCCTTGTGGAAATTTTCAACGACCGGATCATCAACTGGTATTGACAACTTGGGAACCTTTTCTTCTAAAATGTAGTTGCTGATATATGAAAGCTGTTGTTTCCATTAAAAATGGGTTCCATAACAGTTTGTTATTGAAATTGAGAGAGGTGTTTAGTCTCAACCTCTTCAATTTTCTTAATCTGCAGACACCAGGCCGCTGCTCTGCTTCAGTGCAGATACAGTTCCTATTAGGGCTCTTGCTTGGGCTCCAGTTCAAAGGTTAGTGATTCTTGATGAGCATTTTCCCTTTTACTATTATTTAGATTAGCATCATTAAGTGAAAGAGATTCATGTCATATGCATGTGTATGTACAATGGTCTGCAATGTAACCTCAGGGAACTTTGTCCTGATAGATTCCTGAGGAACTTAGATACTCTCACCGAAATATATCGTGGAGAAAATTGTAAGAAACGAAGTCTCACATCTCCTGACATCCAAACCAATGACTTGATCCTGTCAAATCTGCTGACGTTCTCCAGCCAGACCTTCTTCAATAATTCATCCCAATTGACAACCGGCCTTGGATGGGGAGGGGATTTCATATTTTGAAATATCCTTAAAAAACAGAGTGAAAATAGAGTGGAGAAATCTTGCCCTAGCCAAGATATAGATGAATAATTTAACCACTAACTTCCTTTGGTTAGCTTATGCAGGCACATTTTGAAAGTCTTGTTTGTCCTTTATTACTTCTTTCGATCAATGACAATCATCTTTTGTTGCTCTCTCAAAGTCATTATATCAAAAAAATGTTGATCATGAATCACGATGCTAATGAGTTACAATATTTCCTTCTCTATTTATTTTACCATGTACAGATGCGTTTTCCTTTTTGTATGAGCTAATTTCAATATAAAGTATGTCCAAATTTGCAGTGATTCTGAGGGCGCGAATGTTATTGTCACTGCTGGTCATAAAGGCTTAAAGTTTTGGGACATACGGTACGTAGGTTATGTGCACATCTTATGTTTTGCGTTACTTCAATCTCCTCTCTCCTTCTCTAGTGGTTGTTCTGCAATTTTATTTTTCTGGAGGAAGTTCGTTATACATTTTAACTACAAATTGTTTGGGATGAAATCGCATACAACTTGAGATACTAAAAGTTAGGAACTCTTGGCAAAATATATTTTGATGTGCTCCCAACGTGCATGTTTTGTTGAATAGCTGGTCAACAATATATGAGCTCAAATAATCGTGCATTTACTTACACTAAAGTCCAATTCGGTGAAAATTATGAAATTAAGGTCGCCAAGACACCATACGACAACAACAAACAAATCAAGACTTATTTGCAGTAATTTGGGTAAAAAATAAGAGGGCATAGTGAACGTGAGAGAGATAGACTGCAGACACTTCTCAATATGAATCCCTATGGCTATGGTCATCACGTACCTCTCAAACTGCCTAAAAAACTAATTTAGCATATGAACAATATATATGTAAAAGTTGGGGAAAACAAATATCTAAATGTAACGTAAATGTCCAATAATTTTTCATGACTAATTGACACAGATGAGAGGTAATTGTGAAGTCATTAGAACGTTTCAACGAAGGAACTAACTGGATTTTCCGGGTCCACTAGTCTTGGTCGTAACAATTTTTCCTGTTAATCAATTCTTGGAAACACTTGTGCTCATGCCGTATGGCATACAAACGATTCCGCAGCTGCTGCATGTTCCAACCATGATCGGAGTGGAGGTTGAAAAGAGAATTTACTTTCTCCCAGTCGACCTTCTTGAAATGCTTGCCATAATAGTGGCCTTCGGCTATGGCTGTTTCACTAGCCATTTAAGAAAATCTTGTCCACCGAATATGTTTCTTTATCTTGGTAATGGACTTGTGTTGAGCAGCGTAAAGGAGCTAGACTGGGCATCGTAATTCATTTGCAATGGTGAAAAATGTAATCGATGGATTTTTGGTCTATAGTATTGTGGACGGAAAAAATGACGGGACGAACAGTAACGCAAGTTGAATGTGCGTACATATCTGCAGGAAATAAGGATCCATTTGAGGAGTTACTAGCCGAAGGTCCTCCAGTTCAATAGTGTTCATAGGTATGGAGGCTCCTCTGTTTTTCGATCGACGATTGGTTGGGATCTTCCCCACTGTCTCGTTAACACGTGAAGGGCGGCGGGTTGAAACAGGAAGTGGAACACAAAATCAACCTTTTGCACAATGTTGGAGCCTATTTCGTTCTATTTCATTGCCTGTCGAGTTCGGGAATGAAGCAATTTTGTGATGGGTCAAAAGGTAACGGTTGAAAGGTTGTGGGGAGTGTGTGTATGCGATTGTTGGGGGTTGGTGGATAAATGAATTGCAGGAACAGTGGGGAGAGTAGAAAAGGAAAAGTTAAAAGAGAATTTTGTACAATGCTATGTCACGTGGGTTTTAGATGAATTGGCAAGCAACGATTAGATTTTTTATACAATAGAGGTAAGAAATGGCAACCTAACAGGCCCCAAACATTACTGACAATTACAGTCTATTCATTTTCTTTTTCCCTTTCGCCTATTAATTTTTTTTTTGGGCTCGTTTTTGGTGTTACATCACAGAGGCTGTGTTACAATATAAATGTGTGATGGTACGGTTTGTCATGGTGAAAATCAATGCATGCATCTTCTTTTTCCCTACATCTCAGGGTTTGTACAGTTTTAGGACAAGTTCACCTTACACATCATTTCATACTTAAATACTACAACTTACATAATGTCTATAAAATGCATGTCACGTGAATACAATTGACAATGCAAAACTAGTCTACTACACTTAGTTTGAAATTTTTATTCGAATTATCTTCACAAAGTAGTTGGTAGTTTTTTTCACAATTGTTGTCATGGAAGGTGAGGATCCCGATTGTGAAATTGAACCAGCTTCCGACTCCGATGAAGATATCAGAGAGCTTCAGTTTTTCAATGAACTCGTTCAGGACATAAAGGAGTGGCTCCATTATTGTCAAATAGCGCATTCTGATGCGAGAAGATAATACCGCGAATAGCAGTGTCAAATTCATAGATTTCCTTATGAAATGGCCATACGTTTACGTTAGAGGTGATGGAAACACCCGACGGCAAATTGAACTTCCAGGAGTTCCGAATGTACCACATATGTCGTGAAATTAACATTCACTTCTTGATGAGTATGGTGTATAAGGTGGGTAGCAATTCGACGTATATGAGCAAGTTGGTATGTTCTTGTCCATCTTAGCACATGGACAGGGATACAGACAAGTCCAAACACATTTCAATCATTCGTTGCAAACGATGGACCACTACTTCAAAGAGGTTCTATGTGAGATGCTGGCTTTCTCTACAAGTTTAATAAGACATATCTAAATTATAATGATCGTGCTAGCTATCATAGATTGGATATGAACAAGCATCGATTGTTCGATGAGATTGACGGGACGTACGTTCAGGCTATTTTGCCACACCATGAACGAGTTCATTTCATAAGTCATAAAAGGATACCAACACAAAATGTGTTGGCTGCACTTTAATTTATGTTTTACTTTTGTGCTAGCTGGTACAATCAATAATACATACGATGTGCAAATCTTAGCTAGGGCTACCCATAGCCCAGACATTCACTTCTCACAACTCGTGGTGATAAGTTTTATATGGTCGACTCAGGATTTACACACTATCTTGGGCATATGGCACCATACAAGGGATTGAATATATTGTATCATTTTCAACAGTTTCGTGATAAAGCATCAGATCACAGGCGTAGATTTCGGAATGCTTGTAAGGTTTAATTACCAGCACTCATCATGTCCAAATGTTATTGAACGTGCATTCGGAATCTAGAAAAATAGGTGGAAAATTTTTGACCGTATGCCCAACTACCCATTTCCATCCGGTCGCAGTTATTGTAGCCACAATGGATATTCACAACTTCTTGCGAGTGAATCATGTGGTTGACGAGCCATTCACGAAGGTAATGACAGATCCTACTGCCACAAAGGTGGAGCTACTGAATGACTACGATGAAATAGTAGCTGAATGAATGCTTCAGAAAAGCCTAGGAGCAAGTTGGACAGACTAAGTGATTATATGGCTCAATTAGAATGAAAATTCGTTTGCATTGTTGCAATTTGAATTTCGATAACTTGCTCTACGTCCGTGTTTTCGAATAATATGTGAAGATAAATTGTTGTTGTAATTGTTAAATGTAGATATGGGGGAAAACATTAGTTAATTTTTTTTTTAGAAAAGGTTATTGCTGACGAGGACATGGTGGCTATTACCAACACATTTAGTTCTTGATCAGTTATTTATGTATTGTGTGTGCATTGGGTGGCGTGCAAACTTTCTTAATGGAAAAGTCCAAAATGTCGGTAAGTAAAGCCAAATGAGGGGTAGAAATGGAAAAGACAAAACCACTTATCATTTCACTTTGCATTTCATATTATGGGACCCGGTGATGTGATAGGAAGAATGCATTTTTTGGTAAAAAATGGGAAACAGACACGCTAAAGAAGAAAAGAGGATTACAATTTCAGTCTCTTAGAATCCACGTCTCTATTCTTTCTCTATTCTATGAGAAGGGGTCGCTCTAGTAAAGATATAGGGAGGAAACATTAGGTTGATATGCTACATTCGTGTCGATATATCTGATAGAATCTCTCTCTAGCATGCACCATAGCACTTCCCTAGGAACCCTATCTTACACTTTTATAGATCAATAAAAATCATTTGAAGGTCTGTTTATTTCTCTATGTCTCCATCAATCTCCTAAGCAAGGAAATGGATACATATTGTCTGTTTATTTCTCTATATATCTCCATCAATATCCGAAGCAAGTTAATGGATCCATACTAGATATTCCCGGCAGGAAATCAAATTTATTTTTTGAAACCTTTGAATTACACTGTAATCTATGTTTGGTCACCTTCTCCCATACTTTTAGAGTATGGTGCATGAACTTGATACCTCTATAATTTGAACAATTTTGAATCTCCCCTTTATTCACAGGCACCGTAATGCGGTTTCTTGATTCATCTATCATGAGAGACCATATATGATGTCAAATAGTCGTATATGTTCTAATGGGATCCGCAAACTCATGTGTCCATATTGATTTGAAATCTCAACGTATTTAATAATAAGTTCTCTAGCACTCCAGTTGCTAACCTTACAATGGCAAACATAAACTATTGATTTTCAGATTTAAAACATTGAATTAGATACTCATGAGACAATATGATTGAAATATTCTGATCATATTTAATGTGTGATGTTGAGTGGATCTTGGGGATCTGTCAAACTCTATTGAGGACAGGAATGTTAGCTATACTAGAATCCTGGTCTTCCCAACTAGCACTACTAGAATCCTGGTGTCCCCAACTGAAGCGCAATGAAGAGGATGGGAAGTTCGGAAAATGTTTAGATGACGTAGGTGTTTTATGGTGATAAAATAATCGATAAAATATTATAGTATAAATGAAGAGACGAAAAGTGTTATGGTATCTATGTGCAAGTATAAAGGAGATATTAATATGTACTAACTATAGAAAATTAGAAATCTTAAATATGAGATATGGGAGGGTGTGATGGAGCATAAGCTACTCTCGGAGAGCTAGTTGGTTTTATGCATAACTAGTGGAAGCCCCCATTTACCTGTTTCGAAGTGTACCTTAGCTGCCTC